CCAGGGGTAGGCAACCTCGGCTCTTTTATGACTCATGGACTATGCTGACTCAGGAATTCTGGGAGTTGAAGTCCATGAGTCATAAAAGAGCCGAGGTTGCCTACCCCTGGACTAGTCTAATCAAAAGAAGGACCAGGAGAGACGTGATCGCAGTGTTCCAATATTTGAGGGGCTCCTACATAGACGAGGGGGTCCAATTATTTTCCAGAGCACCAGAAGGCAAGACGAGAAACAATGGATGGAAACTAATCAAGGAGAGACGCAGCCTGGAATTAAGGGGAAACGTCCGAACAGTGAGGACAATTAACCAGTGGAACAGCTGGCCTTCGGACGTTGTGGGCGCTCCATCACTGGAGGCTTTTAAGAAGAGACTGGACAGCCACTTGTCTGAAAGGGTATAGGGTCTCCTGCTTGAGCAGGGGGTTGGACTAGAAGATCTCCAAGGTCCCTTCCAGCTCTATTATCCTATGTTCTATTTCTAACTAGGCCACTTTGAACAAGTCCGGGAGTTGATGTCCACTTGTCTTAAAAGTTGTCAAGGTTGGACCCCCTGTCTTGAACTTTCTTAGTAAAGCAGCAATTCCCCTCTCCTTCGATTAGCCTTCAATGCATGCCAGTCATGGAACTTGTATCCCCCAGCTTTGGGCTCTATACCAGTGGTTCTCAACCTGTGGGTCGGGACCCCATTTGGGGTCGATCGACCATTTCACGGGGGTCGCCAAGCAAGGCTGTCCGCCATTTTTTTTGTCCATTTTTTTTGTCCATTTTTTCCCCCTTTTCCGGCGGGTGCCTTACCTCCCTTGGGCTGGGCCAGCTGGTGGTCGGCCTGCTCCGTCTCTGCCGCTTGCCAGCTATGCCTCGGCCGGCGCAGGGGGCGGAACCACGCATGCGCGGTGCTCCTGGGCAGGGAAAGTCCTCGACTTACGACCGGTTGGGTAGTCCTCGACTTATGACCGGTTTAGTCCTCGACTTACAACCGGTTTAGTCCTCGACTTACAACCGGTTTAGTCCTCGACTTACGACCGCTTGGGGTTGTGGCATTAAAAAGGTTGAGAACCACTGGTCTATACGGTAGCTAAAATTGGCTACAATTTTCTAATTATCTATAACGACAGCACACGAAGCGAGGAAGCAAAGGTAGACTTCAAATGCTTTTAGGTTTAGGACTAAAACAAAATAAAGGCAGTTCGTTATATTTCAACAAATGCATTTAACTCCAGATACGATTTATGGAAACAGTTGATAAGAGGCAAAATGCTACATTTCAGTCAGGTTAGATTTTACTCTATCTCCTCTTAATGCTTGAAATAGTGCAAATGAGAGCAGTTAAGATTTGACCCAGATTATGCCTTTGTAGTAATGATAATCACCTTTCATTCCTCAGGATACTCTGGGTATTTTGGTTACTATTTTCACATTTCCTGAAAGCTGCCATACGTGATCCTGGACAATCCTATGTAGGCTGTTAAGCTGCTCTATTACTTTGGTCTTTAGCTTTTTGGCAGGGTAATTGCAACATAGCCAGCTAGCCCTTAACTGCGGTCAAGGTGACTGAGAACAGTGACAGAAGCATTGAGGATCTTGGACCTTTATTATCTTTTCCTTTGCTTGATCTTAAGTGTTCACAGAAATGCTCATGAGAAGCGGGGAAGGGGGGACCCAGTTCCCGTATACCTTCAAAGATAATTTATTTCGTCACCAAGGAAAATAATACTTTTATTATTTTGAAGGTCTATTTCTCTACTCCGCTGCAGCTTATCTTTTTAAAAATCATTACAAAACCAAGGCAGCGTTGCCTTCAATATGGAGGAGAGAAGACCAGTGGTCTCTCAATCAGTTATTAAGCAGTGCAGAAGTACACAGAGGCGTCTTCAAAAATCTTTTTGAGTTAGACTCCTGACCCACCAGAGGTTATCAGAGCAACCGGTCTGTCGTCATTCAGTTCTTTGATGGTGGGTTTCTTTGGCACTGGGATGATAGTAGAGCATTTGAAGTAAGAAGGAACATAGCACACCTCTAGTGATTTTATTAAAGATTCGGGTGAAGAGGGGGGGGCACAGGTTTTCAAGCAAGGAGGAGTTATCTTGTCTGGGCCTGGTGCTTTTCCATACTTTTGTCTGTGAAATAGACCTTGTACATCATTTTCTGGGATCACCAGAGGGGGGGGGGACCCAAGGGGATGGGGTCAGTTGTAGGAGGTATGGCTGCTGTTGGTGGATCTGAGATGGGGATGGTGGAGATAGGTGACAATGGTTTCCTCTCAAACTTACAGTAAAACATATTCAGGTCGTCTGCCAGTTGTCGATTTCCTTCAGCACGGAGAGAAGTGTCACATCTTACGATTTATGATGAAGTGTTGTATTTCACAATTTATGATGAATGTATTTTCATGTTGTATATGATCATGATGATCACTATTACTTGTATGTACACTGGGAGCTTATGCACCGGAAACAAATTCCTTGTATGTCCAACCACTTGGCCAATATTCTATTCTATTCTATTCTATTCTATTCTATTCTATTCTATTCTATTCTATTCTATTCTATTCTATTCCACTCCACTCCACTCCACTCCTCTCCACTCTATTCCTTATTCTATTCCTTATTCTGTTCTATTCTATTCTGTTCTGTTCTATTCCTTATTCTATTCTATTCCTTATTCTACTCTATTCCTTATTCTGCTCTATTCTGCTCTATTTACTCTATTCTACTCTACTCTGCTCTACTCTACTCCACTCCACTCCACTCCACTCCACTCTATTCCTTATTCTATTCCTTATTCTATTCTATTCTATTCTATTCTATTCTATTCTATTCTATTCTATTCTATTCTATTCTATTCTATTCTATTCTATTCCTTATTCTATTTTATTCCTTATTCAACTCTATTCTACTCTATTCTACTCTCCTGTACTGTACTGTACTGTACTGTACTGTACTGTACTGTAGTGTACTCTACTCTACTCTACTCTACTCTACTCTACTCTACTCTACTCTATTCTATTCTGCCTGATGCTACCTTTTCCTCCCTGAATGTTCACATTTTATAAACATTTGGGTTTTTTAAAAAAATCCAGCAACTTATTATCCAGCCTGTCCATTTTCTTCTTAACTTTCAGTCAGATGAAGCCCCTTTCCTGAAATTCCCTCATGGAGAAGAACGGAAATGTCTCTCTTGAACTGCGCTTAAGGCAGGGGTCTTCAAACTTGGCCCTTTTATGACTCGTGGACTTCAATTCCCAGAATTCCCCAGCCAGCATGCCTGGCTGAGGAATTCTGGGAGTTGAAGTCCACAAAAGTCAGAAAAGGGCCAAGTTTGAAGACCCCTGGCTTAAGGCATTACGTAAAGTCGATGAAGGTTACATCAATATAGTGACAGTTAAAGCAGTATTCATTAGGCTCCTGCCACCTTGCAGTCCTCCCACTCTTTGTGCCTTTTCTTCAAGGTTTTCATCTATATTCTCCACCGTTGCATTTTGAAATTACTTTGGAAACTGCTAGCAGGGAACCTCAGTGGTCAATACGACACTATTATCCCGTGGAACTGTTATCCCAGCCCCTGTTAGCTTTAAGTTCCATGTAAAACCAGAGAGATACTATAGGGCAGTGGTTCTCAACCTTTTTAATGCTGCGACCCCAACCGGTCGTAAGTCAAGGACTAAACCGGTCGTAAGTCGAGGACTAAACCGGTCGTAAGTTGAGGACTAAACCGGTCGTAAGTCGAGGACTACCCAACTGGTCATAAGTCGAGGACTTTCCCTGCCCGGGAGCGCCGTGCATCCGTGGTTCCGCCCCCTGCGCCGGCCGAGGCGTAGCTGGCAAGCGGCAGAGACGGAGCAGGCCGACCACCAGCTGGCCCAGCCCAAGGGAGGTAAGGCACCTGCCGGAAAAGGGGGAAAAAATGGCGGACAAAACAAATGGCGGACAAAAAAAATGGCAGACAGCCTTGCTTGGTGACCCCCATGAAATGGTCGATCGACCCCAAATGGGGTCCCGACCCACAGGTTGAGAACCACTGCTATAGGGAATGTCAGCCTACTACATGGATCCTCTAAACTCCTTTTGTGCTACTAAATTTTCACTAGAGTTAACATCTCTCTCTCTCTCTCTCTCTCTCTCTCTCTCTCTCTCTCTCTCTCTCTCTCTCTC